AAAAAAAAAAAAAAAAAAAAAAAACTTCCACTTCCACACTAGGCAAGTGTTGTTTTGGATCTTATATGTTAGCCGTAATAAATACATACAAAATGTGGTTTGTTGTGTTGTGGTTTTACGGTCATTTCATCTCTAAATCCTTTTCTGCTCGTCACCAAGAATCCGAACTTGCTTGACACTCTTAAAAGTTTCCTGCGTTCCTCACTTAAAATACTTAAGGAGAAAGAGGCCCTCAACTTGGCAATACCTAGGACAGGAGAAAAGAGCACAAGACCTCATAGAATACGTACAGAAAAACTAATTAAAGAAGAGACTTTGGGAGAGATGATGCAGATGCCGTCGCCAGAGCAACAACAGCAATACATTTCGAGGATCAAGGATTCCGGTGGAAATAGCTGTCGAGATAGCCCAGCAAAGGAAGACAAGGAAGAGGAGGAGATGTCGAGGTCAGCTCTGTCGGCGTTCAGAGCGAAGGAGGAACAGATTGAGAGGAAGAAACTAGAGGTGAGGGAGAAGGTTTTTGCCCAGTTGGGAAGGGTGGAGGAAGAGAGCAAGCGCCTGGCCGAGATCCGAGAGGTAAGTTATTTAGCTAGAATATTCATGCACACGCGCTTTCGACTGGGGGCGCCGTTTTCTGTTGAGTTATACGTACATGGCTAAATTCATTGCCTCGATCAACAACCAAATTTTGTTCTAGGAACTTGAAGCTATGGCAGATCCAACTAGGAAAGAAGTTGCAGCTGTACGTAAGAGGATCGATGTGGTTAATCGTGAATTAAAGCCTCTCGGTCAAAGCTGCCTCAAGAAGGTTTGAGTCCGTTCGATTAATATAACTCTTGCTTGTTCTCATTGTTGTCAAGGTTAACCCATGTTTGTTGTCAATGAAGGAGAAGGAATACAAAGATGCGCTCGAGGCATTCAATGAGAAAAACAAGGAGAAATCCCAACTGGTCAACAAGTTAATGGAGGTACATTTCATTTTCCTTCTTCGTTCGCTGCTTGCATAATAATGCGACTTACGATAGCCATACCTTTGATGCCTGATCGCAGCTGGTGGCTGAGAGTGAAAGACTGAGGATGAAAAAGCTTGAGGAGCTGAGCAAGAATATAGATTCTCTCCATTGAGTCAATCTGCTGATTTTTATCGGGGAACTACGCTGTGCGAACCCACGTAACAAATGGCTAGTTGTCGCTGTTGCTTTCGTATTAATCGGTGTTGGAAATAAGTGTGCCGTCCTGATTTCTCATTGTCAAAAATCTGATTTAGTTGGAAGATGCTCTGTGAAAAGTTGTGTCTGACAAGATTAATTGATACCTTATCAATCGTTGTGTGGTCCTTCTCAATTCTAATTTCTGTATCAAATGATTCTCTGTAGTTTTATCCTCTGCCAGAGTTCGATTAAGTTACTTGTTTGTGAATCGAGCACTTGTATCGAATGATTCTGGTCGTAACTTTTCCCCTTTCTGCTGGAGTTACGGATTAATTGTTTGTTTGCCTATCAACGTCTCTGTTAGTTGTTAGGTAGAGAATTGCTTTCTTTGTGAGGGATTGCAACGTACTGATAGAGTGGTTATCTTTCAAGGCCAGGTTTTGCTTTTCCGACGTTTCCTGTCAAAGAGTTAATTCGACCTTTCGCCCGCTGCTGAAGCGATCTTCACTCGAAAAAGACGCTTCTTTTCCTAATTAAAGAGCATCCATCTCAATAAGAATCAAATGCGGGCTTTCGCTTTTCAAATAGTTCAATAGTCCTGTTCATTTATGACATAATACATAGATTTGTACAAGTTGAACGGGTGGCACTAGGGACACACCCCCAACCACATCCCAAGCCACACCCCCTCTCTCATACCCCCCACCCACCCCCCCAGCCACACCCCCTCTCTCATACGCTACAGTACACCGGGCCCCACATGGGATTTTAAAATTTTAAAATCCCATGTGGGGCCGGTGTACTGTAGCGTATGTTTTAAAATCCCATGTGGGGCCGGTGTACTGTAACGTATCAGAGGGGGTGTGGCTTGTGATGTGGTTGGGGGTGTGTCCCTATCATTTTCCTTTTTTTTTTCCTTCTTTTTTACCCCGAGTAACTCTGGGATTCTCGGAGGTTGTGCCAAAATTGGGGAAACTTTGATGAAGAAAATATTTGTAATTAGCTAGCAACCTTACATGCTTCATGCTTGGAATAAGAAAATAAGAAAAAGAAGAATCACCGAGGTTCAATTTATTCACTCTTCAAGGCGACGTGTGTGTCGCCTTAATGCAAATATTCTCATATATCCAGCTAAAAGATTCTGATCGCATAAATGTACCCACTGGAAGTTGAAATAGAAAGTGGGTCAGTGTTGAGCTAAAAAGCTAGTAAATGCTGTTATCTCTATAAAATGGATAAAGGGGGTATTTAAATCTAAACACCAGAAAGATGGGGACAAGGGACAAATAGTATGGAATAATTAAGGTGATAAGGAGATTGGTACCCTTGTCAAAATTTGTAATGTTTTAAATAAAAAAACATGATAAGAGAAGATTAGCGTTGGAAGGTGATGCCATCTTATTTTTATGTTATCTTTCTCCTTCCTTTTTCTTTTCTTTTCTTTTTTTAATTTTAAAATTTTCTCATTCTAATGATACGTCTGATACGATAGAAGGGCTTTTATTTAAGCGAAAAGTTTTTCGCTACGGGGCGGGGGGGCTCGAACCTAAGATTGCTACTACACGGGGAAAGGGGTTTTTATTTATTTATTTATTAGGGCAAACCTTTTGCGCGAAATCCTGAAGCAATGGGCGATGATGGAAGAACTCTGCAATCTCCTCAACCCCTCTTCGAAAACCCTAACCCTAGCAGCAACTCATCGTCGTTGTCGCCGGAGAAGAAGATAGTAGTAATAATGGGGGCAACGGGCTCAGGCAAGTCTCGCCTCTCTATCGACCTCGCCTCTCACTTCGCCGGCGTCGAGGTCATCAACGCCGACTCGATGCAAGTCTACCAAGGCCTCGACGTCCTCACCAACAAAGTTCCTTTTTTGGAGCGCGACGGTATATGTTTCCCTTTGTCTTCTTCTCTTGTCTGCTCTGGCTAAGAATTCACTGCGACTTCTCTAAAAATTGGCTCTAGGAGTTCCTCACCATCTTCTCGGGACCGTTGACGCGTCGGTCGAGTTCACTTCCAGAGATTTTCGTGATCTCGCCGTGCCAGTAAAAACCTCGACTCGATTGATTCTGCACCCTTTTTTTTTTCCTTTCAAATTTAAGTTTTGGCTGAAAAGCTTGGTAATTTTGTTAGATTATTGATGACATATTGTCCCGCGATGGTCTTCCGGTTATCGTTGGGGGTACAAATTACTACATCCAGGTTCATTATTCGTTACATGCAGCGTGCTATTGTCTAAAGCTCTTTCTTTTGAAAAGCTTGACGTCGACTTAATTTTTTGGTAGGCCCTTGTGAGCCCGTTCCTTATAGATGATGCGGTGCAAGATATGGAAGAAGACACCGTTGTTAGCGAACAAGGTTAGTAAAGGGGGAAATAAACTGATTTAATAGTTTAATGGTGTTAGCTTACATTCTTTTACTTCGTAGTTTCTGGAAGTTTCTGTTTCTTGCAGAATTAAGCAATGTAGATCTGGCTGCTAGCTATGAGATTATGTTTGTTATAGTTCCAAGAATCCCTGGTATTTTCTCTGTTTCTGGTTTAATCCATCGGCGTTTCCTGCAGATAAACCGTTATCTCAGCTTGTATGCCAGCTCAGGAGTCCTGCCTAGCACTCTGTTTCAAGGAAAGGCTGCAGAGGTAAAAGCTTTTGCCTGATCAGCTGTAAGCTTTTTTGCTATTTTCCCTCCAGTGTTACTGTTATCTACATGTGAGAATTCTACCTCGCTACACATTATAATGTAGTCCCTGAGTTATCTCAGACTATTAGTTCTGCTTGAGGTATCTTGGTCATAGGAACATGCTTCATCATTTGAACACCCATGCCATTTTCAAAAACTCATGGTAATACTTCAATTATCTTTATCAAGCAATATACAAGAAAGTCGCATGTCAAGCCCCATTATGTGGAGGATTGAGTTCAATTTAGCTAATCAGTAGGTCATTAGCCTGCCTTCTGGGTAGGTTTTTAGAGAGCCAGAGCCAGCTATATTATGCTGGGAATCGAGGACACTGTTTTCCATGGATTACTTGAAGGATTTTGACGCCTGAAGAGTCTGAAATCTGTGTCCTGTCACCATACTTGTTTTAGGATATGTGCAATGGGGGAAGATTGCTGCGAAGGAGATGACAACATTTTCTTTGTAGGGTAATCTGCTCTTAACACTCACAAGGATTGAGGCAATTTGCTTATTCTATGTTCTTCCAAGCCCGTTTTGGTTGGTTTTCTAAGGACTAGAGTTGGTTTTTTGAGGGAAAAGGAAGGAGAGGCTCGCGGGTAGGGAACCTTGCGGGCTGGAGGAAGTCATTTCCGAGGAGAATTTTGATGTCCACAGAGTGAAAACCGTATAAGTTGTTACTTATATTGTTTTAGGAAATGGAGATGAATATATAATATAGTGGCTGTGATTCAGTTGGGTGGGTGGGTGTTCACGTATGTCTTCTTTGCTTGCTTAGTTGCTTATATTATATTTTGGTTTGTATTGTTGAACTTTTCCATTATGTTGTGGGAAAGACATTAGAGTATTTTCTTTAGGTAAAATTCTGCAACACAGACATCCATCTTTATTTTGATAGTTCACTCTACAATGTTAAAGACCATTATTGACTTGATGAATGAAATTGGTTCTTTTTTATGTCAGGACAGAATTGGGGACGAGCTGATAATTTCAGATTTAATTGTTGTTTTATATGGCTGGATGTTTCTCTTCCTGTGCTGGATAAATATGTTGATCAAAGAGTGGACTGTATGATAGATAGTGGTTTGTTACTTGAAGTATATGATATATACAAGCCAAATGCAGATTACACCCGTGGACTGCGGCAAGCCATCGGTGCTCGAGAGTTTGAGGAGTTTTTCAAAGAGTGCTTTTTGGAGATAGAGGCATCTGGTTTTCCATGTCTTGAAGGGAATGCTAGCAGTGATAATGCAGAAACTGGAATTCCAATTTTGAGAAAGAAGGCTGATAACTCTTCAGGAGCTACTCTCGTAGAGATTTTGTGCTCCAGAAATTACAGGCTTCAATATTTACTAGATGAAGCAATTGACAAGCTAAAATCCAACACAAGGAAACTTGTACGACGTCAAGTATGAAAATTCCCCTCTTTCCAGTGACATTGCATTAGAATCTTGCTATGTATTTCGTTATTTCATGATCTATTAATTTACCATAAAGTTTCTTAAAATTTTTAAGCACTTTTAGATACGAAGGCTTAATCGGTTGAAGACATATTTTGGATGGGACTTACATTATGTTGATGCGACAGAAGCCTTTTTATGTATCCTTTCTATTCTACCTCTATCATTTTATTTAATTTATTTTGCATATCTTTCTTCTTTCTGTTCTGAACTAACTGTAATGTGCATTTCCCAGGCAACTCGGGAGACATGTGGCATGCAAAGGTTGTTGAACCTTGTATTGGTATTGTGAACACCTTCTTGTCTGAAAAAGTGAGTGTTTTGACGCTCTCAACAGAAATTGGTGATGTCCGGAGGGAGGGCCATGTTAGTAGGGATTTGTGGTCTCAATATATTTGTGAGGTTTGTATGCTTTTTCTTAACTCAAATTATATGGTCGAAACTAGCCAGTGATGTTGTAGATGCTATATTAGTTCTAGCTTTCACAAATCCAGTATATGGTTCATTCTTGGCCATTGGAAAGGCTGACGGTGGGGACTGGTCTGCAAATCACGTTTTTTTTTTAATGATCTGTCCTTCGGGCCTTAGGTTGGATCAAATAAGAGATTTACCGTCTCAATAGTATACAATTACAAGAGTAGATAGACCAACCGTTGAATAGTGGAGATGGAAACTGTTCTTCTCCTTTAGTGGAGAGTGGAGAGAGAAACAGCCTACTTCAGGAACTGCCAACCCTATGGTGGGTGTCAACAATGGGAATGATTTTAAATTGGTTGTTGCAAGGTTTTTATTACAGCAGGTTTTGGCAATTCATTGTGTTCCTAATTTAGGGTTGGCTACGATGAAAGGATCAAGCCCAATATTTTGAACCTCTGGATTTATCTTTCAAATTGTTTTCTCATGTCAAATTGTTGCTTAGTATTCCAGCGGCAATGATTATTCATGATGACATATACAATGACAGGCATGTGGAAATCGGGTCCTACGAGGGGCACATGAGTGGGAACAGCATAAACAGGGTCGTGGACACAGGAAGAGGATCCTTAGTTTAAGAAAGAAGTCTCTGCAGTAACGTCCTTGATATGCCAAAGAAAACATCTCTCAGCTTATGTCTTAGAGGCCGTTGTTCCAGCGTATTGTCAGATTAGTCCTCTGAGCTCTGCTGCTATATTACCTCGTTGTCTGTGTGAAAGCGTGAGGCGAGGTCAGGATATGTTCTTACGACAGAGTTGTAATTTTCTTTCTATATTTAAGAAAAATATAATGCAATTGCTATTGATGCCATAGAGTTGTTACAGAAGTTTTCAGTTGTCTGGTCATCTGTAAGCTTCTGTATACACTGTACTGTGTTAATCCAAGCATCTAACGGTTAGTATCGTAGATTAATTTAGGCAGAGTGAAACAATGAATGGTTTTTGTTTGTTACATTTGATCCTGTTCATTAGATTTGGTTATCATTTCTTTAACATCCCTACTTAGGGCCTGTTTGTTTGAACTGAAGTAACTGTGAAGTAGCAGAAGTAGAGGAAGTAGAGGCTATTTTTGCTACTTCCATATAAAAAATATTGTTTGTTTCTCCGTAAAAGCTACTTCCGTTACTTCCTTAAAAACTGACGTGTCATCTAGCTGGCATCTCTATTTCCTTAATATTTTTCCGGCTCCAATGCTGTGAAATACGGCGGAAGTGATTTTTAGGGTGGGGTCCACGGAAAAAAATGATCCCGAAAATACTTTCATCAACTACAGATTCTTCTCCTATCCTCACACAGCTGATTCTCTTTCTCTCTCCTTAAAAAGTAAAGTTATGAAAGGGTTTCCTCAACCGATTCTTCCCGAAATTACTTATATCCTCACAACCGATTAGTTCCCGCGTGAAAGGATTTCCTCAAGCTGGCGGTAATTCTAGTTCCCGCCGACTTCCTAGCAAAAAACGCCCTTCCTTCTTCATCTTCTTCCTCTTGGATTCACCAAAAAGGTATGTAAAGGTTAAATTTTGATCTTTTATTGTAATTAAATTACATCTTTTGCAAAAAAAGAAGAAATATTGGTGGTTGTATTTATTCGCTTGCTGTTTTTCTTTAGTTTCCACAAGCAATTTTATGTGATACTATTCTCCTTAATTTTTTCCCCTCATTTATTCCTCACAAAAACAAATTTTAGGTTTAATTTTACATAGTTTGTTGATTTCCATTTATTTTTTGTGGTGAAAGGACTAAATCTTGACTTGGGCTTGTAATTGGATTGATTCCGGTTCTTCAAAAAATGTATTATCAAGTGATTCAAAATTACAATGATTTCCAATGTAAATAGGACCAGTGTTCTCTCCTTGCATCATCCGAATAAGACCATCATCCGAATACTAGCTTGGTGTAATCAGCCATTTCGTGAACTCGAAGATTTTTTTTTGCAATGGCAATGTTGTCTGTTTTTTGTCGACTTACACAAATGAATTCAGTTCCGAGTGCCAGTAACTCATATTTCAGAACTTCATAGGATATATTAGCAGAGCAAATACATCTAGCTTTTGTTGTTCAGAAACTACATATAGTTGCCCGTACCCTTGAATGTCATCGAATAGGTTGCCATCGAATATTTCTTCTTCTGCTCAAATGGAAGTTCAAAAAATTTGGATACAACAATCTTCAGTTTTTGAAGCACCTCTGGTGATATTCCATGATTGATTAGCTACAATGTTGAATTGACATTATCAAGACTTATTGATAGCTTTTAGCAATGGGTTTTGTCTTGTGTAAATCTTCATGTTGTCAGCGTACTATTTGATTTATGGAAGAGCAAGGTCGAATTTGGAAGCATAAACGCTAGGACTAATCACATATCTGTCCCCTGTACTATAGGACACATATTACCTCCTTTTTATTATCACTTTCAAAAACATAGTTATCTTTTTGTTATTTGTATCTGCCATTTGGATGTCATGCAAGTTTCAGACAGATCATTTGAAATTTGAGGTGTTACCGAGATATCCTCTATTCTCTTATAGTTACATGTGTGGAACGTACACTTATATAATACAGAAACATATAGCAAGGAGATAACTTCATTTAGGATTAGAGAGATTAGAAGTAACAAGTGGTCAAAGCCTCGCATGTACTGAGGACTATACCACACGTCTCATATACCTGGAAGAATCCCAATTCTCTACAAGCCATATCGGGCTTGCTGAGCTCGCCTTCATCAGGTTCGGAAAGCAAATGCTACGATTGCTTTCACATAAAAAACTCCAACATACTGACATTGTAACAGGCATCCATTTTCTCATTTGCATCCTTTTAAAAGCATTCCACCAGTTAAAGACAACAGCGGCTTAATATAGTCATACTATTATAAAGCAAATAGTAAGAAGAATCAAATTATTAAGGTAGGCAAAGTCTTCTCTTGCTTCCAAAAGCAAATCGGGACCTTCTCAATAGGCTTTAACTTGACTACAAAGAGTTCTATGCCAGTGTAACTAGGATGTGAGAATCATATTTATTTTTGTCGATGTGAGAAATAAATTGGCGAATTTTTATAATAACCATATGCGCTGACTTTTTTGATTTTATAACATTGTTTTATTTGTTTTATGTAGAATATGGAACCTTCAAAAGCTAGAGATGCTACACTAAGTTGCTTTGCTGCATATGTGTCATGTATAGTGTGTGCTTACTTTATGTTGTTTGAGAATAAAAGAGAAGTAACTTCTAGGGAACCAACCGAGTTGAGAGATTCATTGAGAAATGCTTATATCTACCGATTATTCTATGGCGGCAGAACATTTGCATATGACTACTTAAGAATGGATAGAGGTCCATTTTTTAACCTTGTTCGCATGTTACGAAAGTCTAGACTTCTTAAAGATACCATATATGTTTCCATCGAGGAGCAAGTTGCTATGTTTTTACACATAGTAGGGCATAATGCAAAAAATAGGGTTGTTGGTATAAACTTCGTACGTTCAGGCGAAACTATTAGTAGGTACTTCAATGCAGTCCTCGTGGCAATATTAAAACTAAGACCATTACTAATGAAGCAAGCGAGTGGTGAGGTATCCGATGAGATTCGTTGTAGATCAACTTGGTATCGTTGTAGATCAACTTGGTACCCTTGGTTTGAGGTAAAGTGGATTATGTTTCAATCATTTATATATATACTTCTTAAGGTAATATGTAATATAAAATGGCGAATTTATATGTTGTGTATGTTTAAATGGTCAGAACTGTATTGGTATGATTGATGGAACACACATTGCTGCGTCTGTCCCTGATAATATAGTTGCTCGATTTCATGGTCGCAAAGATGGTCCCACACAAAATGTGCTTGCAGTTGTTACACCTAATAAGCTATTTTGTTATGTCATGGCTGGATGGGAAGGGTCCGCTAATGACTTTACAGTTTTAAGGGATGCATTGTCTATGCCTCCTCCAAAGGGATTGCGTTTGATAAAAGGTAATAAAATGTGAACTAAAATTATAAACTATTTTATTAGTTTAAAAAAATTTGTTAATAATTTGGTTTCATGTTAATATTGTAGATAAATATTATCTCTGTGATGCTGGATATACGACAATGCCTGGTTTTATTGCACCTTATCGTGGCGTGCGCTACCATCTTAAAGAGCAAGACGGTAGAGAACCATTGAACCATCGAGAGCTAATAATGGTTATAAAGTGTATAAGACATTTAAAGCCCCTGCTTTCAAAAAGGCCGTTGAGCATGTGAATTCTCTCTTTGGAGAAAATTATACTACATACAATGTCGAGAACCACTTACGAACCCTCAAAGATAAGTGGAAACTTATTTGTGAAGCAAAAAAACTTAGTGGAGCCGGATGGGATGAAGAGAGTAAGATGATTACACTTGATACCACGACATATGCTGAGCTTATCGAGGTATATTAATTTCTTAATCTTGTCCACCAAGTTAATTCAAAATTTTCTTTTTGATATATTACATTAAAAATCTCTAATTTTCTTATAAACAGAGACATCCAAAATACAAGCCTTATTTGAATTGTCCAATTCCAAGATATGAAGAGCTTCGCATTATTTGTGGGGAGGATCATGCTACTGGAGAATTCAGAGAGACAAGTTATGACCCTGACATTGATAAAGAGATTCCAACTATCAATATCGACGAAGATGATCTTGTAGATAGTCCTGGTATTGATGGAGTTCGTGTATCACAATTCAATGGAGTGGACCCTCCGAGCATTTCTGTCAAGCCAGGAACTGTAAGTGGTAAATCGTCTCGTCCAGTAAAGAAGAAGAAAAGGGAGGACTCCCATATAATTATTGGTGAGAAACTTGTGGAGGAAATGGGAAAGGTAGCCATTGCCATTACTGGTTTGAAGGAGCGAACTTGGGTTGAGGTTCTTGCTGATAAGGTTTTTGGTTTTCAAGATATTTCCATAGATAATCTTGAACTGGTTTTCAATGAATATTACAAGAATGAAGTTGAAGCGAAGGCTTTTATGGTGTTGCCCGAACCAATACAGAGAAGGAGGATTCTTAACGTGTTGGAGAGGATAGGTAGGGAACCAACTTTGGACAACGCTCAGAGAGGAACTACTAGTTTCAGAAACATGGATAGCACCCCTTAATAAATGGTTCTCAGTTTAAGCTATTTTTCTAGTATGAATAAGCTTCCTAAAATTTGCACTTTATTATTTTATTTTAAACTTAATGATACTGGTTTATTGTCAATTATGCGTGTTGGACTTTGATATCAATTGAGCTTACAATAAGACTACGATTCTTATTTATTTTAGTTAATTTTTAATAGCACTTTCTTTTTGTCAGCTCAATATATTTTTTGTGGATGTTTTTTTTTTCTTTTTTCTTTTTGGTGCCTAATTGTTGGTTTATCAAAGTCATTGCTGTAGCATGGATTCAAAGTCAAATAAATGCTTTAGGCAAATTGGATAAGCATTGGATGTGGAGGCAAATTTGTGAAGGCTATAGATATGTTGCTCTTTTGATCAGTAATAATACATAATTAGTTATTGGGCTACACCAAGCGTGATTTCAGTATACTGCGATGATTTGTTGTTGATCTTATAGTCAGTCATTGCTCACTGTCAAAAATCCTTTGGGGATGATTAACTTTCCGAGAAATTACTTTGTGTTCTCTTTGAAGTTATAGTCGTTCTGGTGGCTTTCATTTATTAAATGGCTTTCTTTTTTTTAATAAATTCAATAGATATTTAATGTGCTTGTTGCAATTATGCTGCACGTCTCATTATCCTCGTACTACGTTATTTATCTGATGATTTACTTTCACTCATTTTCTTGTTATTGCACGAAATAGCAAGCATAAGAAACTGAAACCCTCGTACTTGACCAATTCCATAGTTTATTATGTTTCTTTCCTGTTTGCTGCGGATGCTCCCTTGTTATCATCAGTGTTTCGTGTCATACCTCTTGATCAAAAAATGGTAAGATTACCTTTATTATATATCAAGCAAATC